CCGACACGGCCCGGGCGGTGCGCCACGGCAGGCCCGAACTCTGGCGGCTGTTGGCCTGGCCGCCCATCAGCCTCACCCACGTCGAGTTGACCAGCTTGCCCCCCTGCTGCCGCCCGGGCGTGCTGCTGCGCCCCGGGCTCTCCACGGACCACCAGTGCTCCTCCTTGACGACGTTCGTGGCCGGGTCCACGATGGGCGGGCTCTTCACTCCCGACGGCGGCAGCGCTTGCCTGTACGACTGACCAGCAGCTACAGAGTCTGGCGTCGGGCTCTTGACGGAGGAGGCGGAGGTGCCGCGCGAGGAGGGGCACGGCTGGGGGCTGCGGATGCCATTCTGCTCCGGCCGGAGGGCGAAGAAGATCGCGCCGGGGATGCCGCGCCCCTCGGAGTTGAGCCCGAACGTGGTCAGGGACATCCCGGGCGAGGAGGAGCGCGACGACGTGGCCGAAGAGTAGGTGGAGGCGCTGGAGGTCGGGTGCGCCCCCGCCGTGCCCGCCGCCGTCGTGGTCACGGTGATCGAGGCGAAGGCCGTCGAGCTGGCGGAGGCGGCGCCGTTCTTCGGCAGGCCGTTCGCCGTGCTGGCGTTGGGCACGGCGGCGGGCCCTGCCGAAGGGGGATTCGCTGCGCCGGCGGAGGTGGTCGCCGCTTTGTTTGCAGTCCCTGCTGACGCTTTGGCAGAGCTAACAGCTGTGTTGTTACCGGCCGACGAACTGGATGCTGTTTTCGTGGCTGTGTTCTTTGTCGAGGCGCCGGCTTTGCTGGAGTTTACTGTTGCTGTCTTGTTAGGGACAGCTGCAACCGCAGTAGACGTTCCCGAAATACTTCTGCTTGTAGCCGCTGATGTATTTTGACTGTTTGTAACAGCTGTGGTTCTGCTGGGAACAGCGGTTGTGACTTTGCTAGAATTTGACGCTGTAGAGTTTCTTGCGGTGGTTGTGGTAACTGACGTTGATGTTGTAGTACTGTTAGAAGAAGCGACTGTTGTATTTTTAGAAGTCACTCCCGTCGCGTTACTTGACGTGGTGACTGTGCTGTTATTGCCGGTAGTTACTTTGGTATTGTTCGATGCTGCAGTTTTCGCGCTGGTAGAGGCTGCAGCTTTTGCATGAGTGGAGGGGGCAACTGTGGCGCTGGAGGAAGCAGTCTTCGCGGCGCTGGAAGGGCCGTTTGTGGTGTTGCTTGTGGTGGTAACTTTGGTGCTGTCCGACGTAACTGCCGTTTTTGGAGGAGACGATGAACTGGATGATTTAGAAGCATGATTATTGGCAGTTAAATTAGACGAATCAGCGGCCGTAGAAGACGTGGCGGGCTGTGGTTTCTGAGCGTTATCGGACGCTGTGCTTCCTTTGGCCGGCGACGCAGCTTCCTTCCCGCCACTGTTCTCATTTTTGCTGCTTCCGGAGGGCGCGTCCTCCACTCCGCTCTGAGTATTCACGCCCGCCGGGGCCGAGACGCCACCTTCGCCTTTGCTGCTCGTGCCGGGCGCCTCGCCGTCGGGAGCTTGCGACGCGCCGCCTCCGCCCGCCGAGAAGGAGAGGCCGATCGCGGCCGGCGAGGAGTCGCTTCGAGAGTGCGCCGGCAGGAGCGCCTCGCCATGCGGCTGGGCGAGCGCCGACGAGAGGCTGCTGACGGGGGGCGACTGGGCACTCGAGGGGTCGGGGCGGCCGCCCGCGCCCGAGGGGGAGGTTTCGCTGCGGGCGCGGGCGGAGGAGGAGGCCTGCGACGCCGCCTGCACCGCCTGCGTGATCTGCTTCATGGTTGACGGGCGCTTGTGGGCGACGAAGGGCTGACGGAAGTTGATGGGCGTAAGGATGGTTGAGGTGATGGGCATGTAGCCCTTGGGCATGTTGGGCGTGGACGGGCTGCGGGTGAGGCTGGGGCCGCAGGGCGTCGGGGGGCCGCTGGACACCGGGGACACTGGGATGGCGCTCGCCAGGATGGAGCGCGCGCGGTGTTTCGCCGACTTCTCGTCCTCGATCAGCCCGACGCCCTTGCCCGCCAGCGGCTGCAGGTTGCCCAGCACCTTCGGCCTCGCGCCCATCGCTTCGTACTTCTTCTTCTCGTCAGCGACGCCGCCGACGCCGCCCGTCTTGGATTCGGCGGTGGGGGCGCTCCCTGCCGTCGAGACGCCCCTGCTCTCCTCCTGCTTCAAGGACCCGACGTGGGGCGCGGGCGGCTCCTGCTTCTGAGCCGCCGGCGTCTTATCCGCGGCCTTTCCGAGCGACGCCTGGCCCCCGGGGGTCGACTTGGAGGAGGAGGCGGGGTGGTGGTGGCCCTGGGTCTGCGGGCGCGAGGAGGGCTGGGCGCGGGGCTGGGCGTGCACCACGGGCGTCTGGTGCTCGGGCGTCGCGCCGCTGAAGGCGATCTGGTGCAGCATAGACACAGGGATCCAGCCCTTCAACGGCGCCTGCAAGAGAACGCGAGGGAATCAGATCTTACTCTCGGCTAAGAAGCGCTCGTGTCGGTGGCTGGTTATTTTGTGGCGAAGGAATTTATGATT